GCCGACTTCAGCCAGGTCACGATCTCGCGGTCCGTGAGTTCGAGCCCTGCGTCGGGCGCTGTGCTGACTGCTCAGAGCCTGGAGCCTGTTTCCGATTCTGTCTCCCTCTCTCTCTGACCCTCTCCCGTTCATGCTCTGTCTCTCTCTGTCTCAAAAATAAATAAATGTTAAAAAAAAAAAAAAGATAGAGTTTGTTGGCTTTGTATTTGCCTGTGGAAGTTCTGACTTTTGAAGACCTGTTCTAAATTGCTGTTGGCTGGAGACGCCTGGGTGGCTCAGTCGGTTAAGCATCCAACTTCGGCTTGGGTCATGATCTCACTGCTCATGAGTTCGAGTCCCGTGTCGGTCTCTGTGTTGACAGCTTGGAGCCCGGAGCCTGATTCACATTCTGTCTCTGGCCCTCTGTTCCTCCCCTGCTTGCACTCTTTCTCTCTGTTTCTCAGATATAAAATAAAACATAAAATTAAAAAAAATAAATTGTTCTTGGCTATGCATAGGTTTTGACTGAATTTCTTAGTATGACTTGAAGCTCACCCCACGTTTTGTGAAATATAAAAGCTGGCTCTTTGAGCTTCAAGATTTTGTGACATGGGAAATTCTCTGGGTTCAGGTTGTTTTGCTTCTACCTTTAACATGGTGCTATGGCCAAGATGGAGGTATACCTTCTTCATTGTAGATATCTGATGCTCTTACAGCAACTTGTTTCTTTGAGAGATAGTAGAGGAGAGTGGGGACAGGATCCTTTTCTATTTTTCTATCTTCCCCTGTTCTAGGTCCCAAGTTGTCTTTTTGGAAATATGATTCCCTTGAACAAAAGAGGGTAGGAATTACCAGAGCCTAATTTCACTTAGGGAAATATGTGGGTCTCTGAAGGGGAAGGGTATCAACTGTCTTCAAACACTTTATCTGTACCTCACTCATGATACTTGGTATTTTCTCCAGTGTTGTATAGTTATTTTTGTTCTCATTTTATCTTTTCATCTTGATCAGTGTTTTCTATCGGTGCAGAACATTTGCTGCATTGATGGAAATGTATATTTTCATTTTCCAAATCAGTACTCATTAGCTACATGTAGCTTTTGAATACTTTAAATGGGCTAATATGATGTGAGAACTGAATTTTTAATTTATTTAACTTTAATAGTTAATTAAACATTTTTAATTTGAATATAGTGGACACAAAGCTACGTTAGCTTTAGGTGTACAGCATAGTGATTCAACTTCTCTGTGCATTATGCTGCACTTACCACCAATGTAGCTACCATCTGTCACCCTACAGCACTTTTACGATACCATTGACTGTATTCCCTAGGCTGTACCTTTCATCCCTGTGGCTTATTCATCCCACAACTGCAGACCTGTATCTCCCTCTCGCCTTCACCCATTTTGCCTGTTCTCATCCCTCTTCCCTCTGGCAACCAGCAGTTTGCTCTTTGTATTAATACCTCTGGTTCTGCTCTTTGTTTATTCATTTGTTTTTTGTTTTTTTTTTTAGATTCCATATATGAGTGAAACCATATGGTATTTATCTTCCTCAGTCTGACTTATTCCACTTGGCATTATATCCTCTAGGTCCATCCATGTTGTCACAAGTGGCATGATCTCATCCTTTCTTGTGGTTGTGTAATATTCCACTGTTGTGTGTGTGTGTGTGTGTGTGTGTGTGTGTGTGTATACATACACACCACATCTTCTTTATTCATTCATTTATGCATGGGCATTTGGGTTGCTTCCATATCTTAGCTATTGTAAATAATGCTGCAATAGACATAGGGTGCATAGCTTTAATTAATTTAAGTTTAAATAGCCACAGGTGGCTAATGGCTACCATGTTGGACAGTACAAATCGACTTAAGGATGTAGTGTGTCTTTGATTTACTTCTTCCTGTGTTTTTGGAGTATACTAATTTACTTATCTGATGTTTGGTGAAACTGGTATGTTTGTTAACTGTGTTGCTTCCAAAATGACATGTGGTTAAGTTGGCTGTGCAATTAGAAACTCTACAACTTTGAGTTTGAGATTGAAGTTGGCTTCCAATGGTTAGCACAAAAATGGAATTAGATGCCTTGAATTCCTTGTGCTTTCCTGAAATTTGTTCAAAGTGAATCTAAAATGCTGATAAAACCATAATTAAAAATTCTAGATTTACCTTAACATTCTGCAAGTGTCAACAGTCATGTTTGAGTAGGGGAAAAACAGATTAGTTAAGAGCGTTGCTTCCAATAACTTAAGGACGAGGAAATCTGTGTTAGAATTAGGACTACCTTAATCATGCTGGTAGGTGCTTATTTTATATTCTTTTCATTTTGATTCTTTTGAATGGATTCTTGTTCACCATCCAAGACTGGTCTGTAATCAGGTATAATAAGCACAGTTCATTTTGGATTCATGTGTATTTTGTTTATACTTACAACACAGCATCACACTGGGGACTTTAGAAATAAATATCTTTTTATTTTTTATTTTATTTTTTTTAAGTTTACTTATTTTTGAGAGAGAGAGAGAGAGAGAGAGAGAGAGAGAGAGAGAGAGAAAGTATGTGCACAAACTGAGGAGGGGCAGAGAAAGAGGGAGACATTAGACTCCGAAGCAGGCTCCAGGCTCTGAGCTATCAGCACAGAACCTGACGTGGGGCTTGAAATCACAGGGTATGAGATCATGACCTGAGCCGAAGTCAGATGCCTGACTGAGCCACCCTGGAGCCCCAATAAATATCCTTTTGTTTCCAATCATTGCACGTTTTCCGTTTTGGCAACCCTGTGTTTTTACTCTCGTGAAGCCTGTGTATAGGGACAGGAAAATTTGGTGTTACCTGGAATATAAAGTTCCAAAATATTACACACTTGCTTAATGTAGATAAAATATACAAGTTTAGTATTCTTATGTAAGGCAAGTGGCTCCTGGCAGATTTGATGCAGTGCAATGACATATCTATGATACTGTAGTTTAGGTAGCAGAAAAAAATTCAATGACTCCCTCAAAAGAAAGGTCTTTTGGGGATGGGTTTTTTTGAGACTTGTTGATATTTAGAAAATTTATGGTCCAGGCTAAATTGAATTTGAGCATTAATGAGCAAAAATTCATAATGAGAACTCATTCATTGAAGTTTTAATGTTATGAGCAGGATATTCTTCTAAGCTTGTAAGGTATAACATACAATACTTGTGTGAGAGGCTTACTCTGTAGTTGGGCAGGTAGGATCTACACTTAAAGATAATTCACAGCATGTGATAGTGTCTCAGATAGTAAGTTTGGGGAACTTTGAGAGGAGGCTAGTGTTTCCTAAGGGTGACTGGAAAAGTGGGATTTGAACTGGGATTTTGAGGAAGCTAGAGAGGAACAGAAAGAGAAATAGGAGGGCACTCCAGGCAAGGATGTGAGCAGAGGCTTGGATTAAGAATTTGCACGGAGTATTTGGGAATAAGGAACGGATGCGTTTGTTGAAATGCAGATTCCATATGGGACCCATTAGGGGATAAGGTTGTCTTGGAAGCTAGGGACATGAAATGTAGGGCTTTGATTGCTGGGCTGTGGAATTATTCTGAGGGGAGTAAGGAGCCATTACACACCTTTGAATGGTGGGAAGATATGTGAGAAGCGAATATTGTGAAGATTAATCTCTGGAGTGGAATACAGGATGATTGGGCAGGGGAGAGGGAATTTAAACAGTGAGGATGTGAAATGAAGAGCCCCTGCACTTTTGTTGCTAACGTAGGACTAGAAAAGCAAGGGATGACTCAGAGGAGTAGCCTTTCTGATAAATGAGAATGAAATTGATATTTATTTGTTGCCCTTTTGTGATTGAAAGTTTTCATGCCCAAGTAACTAGGAGAAGCGAGAAGTGTTTTTAGTCTGGTGGGCTGATTTGAAGGAAATATGGGTTGATTTTATTTATTTATTAAGAAAACATTTTTTTTCTTAAAGAAAAAAAAATTAATGTTTATTTAGTTTTGAGAGAGAGAGTGAGACAGAGCATGAGCAGGGGAGGGCCAGAGAGAGAGGGAGACACAGAATCAGAAGCAGGCTCCATCCAGGCTCTGAGCTGTCAGCACAGAGCCCGACATGGGGCTCAAACCACAAATCATGAGATCACGACCTGAGCCAAAGTCAGATGCTTAACCGACTGAGCCACCCAGTCGCCCCGAGAAAACATTTTTTTTAATGTTTATTTATTTTTGAGGGAGACAGGGCAAGTTCAGAGGAGGGGCAGAGAATGCTAAGCAGGCTCTGTGCTGATGGCAGAGAGCCCAATGCAGGTCCCGAACTCATGAACTGTGAGATCATGACCTGAGCCAAAGTAGGATGCTTAACTGACCCACCCAGGCTCCCTTAGATGGGTTGAGTTTTAGATGTTCTAAGTTCCAGGTGATGGAAGGACCTGTAGATGTAGGTTTGGAGGTGGTTGGAGATGAAAAGATTGATCCTGGGTCTCACTTGTAGGAGCCATCGCTCTTCTGTAGGGTCATCAGTGAAATTCATGATAGTGGGTAAGAGAGATCTGCAGACCGCTGACTGTATCCTGGAGATGTCTGCAGAGAGGGAGATGGGCCAGTGTGTCATATAATGTGGAATGCTCAAGGAGAAGAAAACTGCAAGAAGACCACTAGGTTTAAGATACTTGAGAACCGAGAGCAAAGTTTGAGTGGAGTAGTTAGAATTGGTGACTAAGTAGGTGATAAATCCAACTCGGAAGTGAATGCACATGTTATGTTCATCTTGCTTCTTTTGTGGCCTGCTTTTTAATCATTTTACTGAGTGTCCTGGCAGGGAGATAAAACAAGGTGGAACTCAAAAATGTCCAAATAGTTCCTTATTAAGAGACTAGTTACGGTAATTGGGTGAAATCATTAGTTATTTGGAGTATATGAATCAGTTATATAATGACCCATATTCCTGAAGATAACTGAAATTTGCAATTTTAGTGAAAATAAAAATGAGCATTGATGTTCCTGAAAATTATATTTCTACTAAATACTGCTTTTTTTTTTTTAAATCCCAGTTTTTATGCCGATTTTGGACCTCTGAACTTGGCAATGGTGTACAGATACTGCTGTAAACTAAACAAGAAACTGAAAGTGAGTACTATGGTGATGTTTATATTTTGTTATTGGAAATTTTAACTTTGAAATCTGATCACTGGGACTGCTGTGCACACACCATTTAGTTAGGTAATCTTGATCTTTGGATATTTATTTGAGTAGTTTACTCTCATATAAATGAGAAGTTGAAACTGATCCACCTGATTACCCCATAAAGGACATGTTAACCTCTTCCATTTTTCAGGATGAATTGAAATGTGAGCTGAATGAAGTCATTGGAATAGCGATCTAAGAAAGAAAGCACAAATACCTTTCAGGTTGCTGTTTAATGAGTCTATCAAATTCCTCCCTAGGATGGTTTTTCTGAAACCAGGTGATGAAGGCACTCATCACGGCATCGCAGTAGCTCTCAAGCTTTTCCTGTCTGATCAAGATTGAAATTTTTATGCATTTCTTGGAGGTCATCTTTGTAGAGTTAGCAGCCAAGTGGGATGGATGAGCTAGTAGTGATACAACAGGGACTTTACCTGTTGTGACAGAATTTGGATCATACATTCAGTATTCATCTGTATTTTTGATTTACATGTTTTTTTTTTTTGCTCTTAGACTCTAAACATACATGAGGGAAAGCATTACATGTAATCCTGGTTTTGGTAAATTTATTTCATCACATAGAGATATTTATCTTTGTCTTCCAGTGTTCAAAATGAGGATCTTAAATGTAACGTTTCAGTTTGGAAGGTCAAATACTACACAGCATGCTGTTAAAGATAACCGCGAAATTATAATGCTCAGGTGGCTTATTCTTTCTGCTAGTTACAGTGTAACTGGTGTGACGATGTACAGTACTTTGTACATATTAGCTGTTTAGTGATCTTTTGATTTGATTGATTTTTATTGAACTTAGGGATAAAAGACTGTCTATAGTGGAGAATTTCCTATAAAATATGTTGTATATTTATGAATTCATAGATTTTTGTCATTGATCTGAAAATGCTAAATGGTCATGGGATGAATACCAAAGAGAGATTTTTATTTTAGTCAATAATCATATAACATAAGGTCTGTTGCAATCAACTGTTTAAAGAATTAATTTGTAAAGTATTACCTGACTTGAAAAGGTGTATGTAAATTCCTTTAACTAAACTGGTCTACATTTTTCAGAAAAGAAGCTACTGCCTATAGTTTAGAAAATAAAGTGGAAACTTTTGTAATCACCAGGGAAGCAAATAATATCCTAAAAAGGATTTAATATAAAAACATAAAGTGGACTTTTAGTGGATGATTAACAAGGAAAGGATAATCCATAAATAATTGAAGGCTATTACTTCCTTTTGAGGACCTAGGAATTTTTTTTTTTTTTTTTTGCTTTCTTGATTAGTCCTGTTAGTATGTAGTTGGTATGAACTGGGTATTATAATTAACAATTCAGGACCTGACCATTACTTGGAAGATCGAAGAGAAAAGAATCATTATTTCAAAAATAATTTTTTTGGTCTGACTCTGTCTTCTGCTTATATCAGTTACATAAAAGTAGATGGCTTGAGTAAGGCTATTTTTCTACCATATTTTACACCAAACTGTATAGGTAAGTGTATACATGGACTTGTTTTGATTTGTTTTCATTTACAAAGCTTTCTTTCAACATTATGCAAGTTTAATAGAGTTCAGCATCCCTTGGTTCATTTCAGGGACCAGGTAATCTGATGGATGCCTGGAAGGATATTTTTTTGCTTTAGTACTGCTAGTAGATACCCTGTTACTTGCTGAAGGAATGAATTTTCAAAACCCAGATGTTGATAAGTCATGCGTTATCTCAAAGCATCCGAGTAGAATCTCTACATTGGGAGAAATGACTTGACTACCAATTTGAAGCTGCAATTGCTTCAACCTTGTGTAATCTCAGTTTCTTTAGCTATAAGATAGGGATTATAGAGCTTTCACAGAGGGGTGGTTAGGAGTATATTGCAAAAGGCTTTGCAAATTTTAACGTCTTCTACAGAAGAAAGTTACTAATGGAACATTGATGACTTTGAATAGGAAATAACAATAACATTTCTTCAACCAAGGTTATGAACACCTTCCCAGTCTCCTGGCTGTCATTTCCATATGCAAAAGCTGTTTGATATAATTTTAGGGATCCAAATGACAATTTAGTCTAGCCAGTTCATTTTATGGGTGCAGAAAGGAAGGCCCAGGAGAAGCAGGTGACTTGTCCAAGGCTACAAGGTAAAGTGGGGGCTAGATTTCAAGGCTTGTGACTTATTCATGCTCCTCTCCACCTTCATCACTGGAGGAGCCTCTGTGGTTTATAATCTTCATGCGCTCACCCACAGCACTGCCCCAGCTGACTTTGCCCTGAAAACATGTCCATAGTGGCCTTGAGGCTCCTCTGCTTCGTTTGCTCCAGTGACTGTTACTGCCACTCCAACTACGTTTCTTCCAGGAACTCAGACTCCAGGCTTTCCTGCTTTAAATGTACCCTTCTTGTTGCATACCTCCCACATTCTGTCTCTCTCACCTTCGTGTAATCTCCAGGCCCTCAGGCTCCCTATTTTCTCAGTCCATCGGATCCCTGTTGGTGTTTCTCGTCTGCAGCCTGTGTTCACCCATTTTGGTAAGACTTTTGGGCACCTTGCTTCCATGCCTTTTGTCTTGCTTGGCCTCACAGCCCCCACCCTTGGTGTCTTTCCCAGTGGATGATTTCATGCGCTAACTTACTGATTTACTCAAGATTGCGGTACTCTGGCCACTGCTGGCTGTGCACTTTACCCTGAACCACACCAGTTGCCCCACACAATGGCTTGTGACGTCCAGTCTGACTTGAATGTCCTTTTCCCCTGGTTTGATCACTCCTTGTTCTTTATGACCTTGTTCAGACACCGTGGCTTCTAGGAAGCATCTCCTTGTCCTTCTGAACAAGGTTGGAGTTGCCTCCCGTTTGGAGATCTTTATTATTGATGAATAATTCCCTGTTTACATTGCTCTCTTTCACTAGACTATACCCTCCTAGCAGATGGAGACATGTCATAGAATTCAGTGTCTCCAGTGCCCAGCACAGGGTCACCAGACACACAAACTTCTGTTGACCTTATCACGATCCCCTTGACTTACAGGTCCTCTTTTATCTTTTTGTCTCTGGAGGTTTCAGAATATTCTGCCCTCACTATTTTCATCCTCACTACGCACTGATTTCTTAATCCTTGGCTGTCTCACTTTTGCTTTCCTTACCCTGCTGAAACTGCTCTAGAGACATCTTAAAGACCAGATATGATGGTATTTACTTGGTCCTCAAACCCTACTTCTCTGAATAATTTGGCACTATTTTTTTTTTTTTTACAGTGAGAAAATTTTTTTATTTTTTAATTTTTATTTTATTTTTTATTAAAAAAAATTTTTTTTTCAACGTTTATTTATTTTTGGGACAGAGAGAGACAGAGCATGAACGGGGGAGGGGCAGAGAGAGAGGGAGACACAGAATCGGAAACAGGCTCCAGGCTCTGAGCCATCAGCCCAGAGCCCGACGCGGGGCTCGAACTCCCGGACCGCGAGATCGTGACCTGGCTGAAGTCGGACGCTTAACCGACTGCGCCACCCAGGCGCCCCTTTATTTTTTTAATATATGAAATTTATTGTCAAATTGGTTTCCATACAACACCCAGTGCTCATCCCAGAAGATGCCCTCTTCAATACCCATCACCTACCCTCCCCTCCCTGCCACCCCCCCATCAACACTCAGTTTGTTATCAATTTTTAAGAGTCTCTTATGCTTTGGCTCTCTCCCACTCGAACCTCTTTTTTTCTTTTTTCCCTTCCCTTCCCCCATGGGTTTCTGTTAAGTTTCTCAGGATCCACATAAGAGTGAAAACATATGGTATCTGTCTTTCTCTGTATGGCTTATTTCACTTAGCATCACACTCTCCAGTTCCATCCACGTTGCTACAAAGGGCCATATTTCATTCTTTCTCATTAATTTGGCACTATTTTAACTGATAACAGCTTCTTAGACTACTGTTCATGTGTGGTTTCCTAGCTTTTTTAGGCAACATGTTATTTTCTACTTTGACAATTTTTATTTCTTCCAAAAAAAAGCTTTTATGATTTTTTTTTCTCTTTTATTTGACACCTTATATAGATAGGTAATATTTTGCAGTGCATTCTGTTCCAAACCTAAATTTTTAATTTTTATATTTTCAAAAGGTATTTTTTTTCAGGTTGATGATTTGAGGCAGTGATTTATTGCTATTTTTTTTGTGTGTGTGTCAATATGCCCTCTATTCCCAGGGATCTTTACTATAATTATGTTGATTAGAATGGAAAATTATCCAGCAAACATCGAGTTAGTTTCAAAAACCAAAGGCAGAAAACACCATCACCAACAAAAAAAACCTATTTTTAAAAATTTTAAACTATATTTTAAAAAGTGTAAGTACTAAGAGTTATGCAGTAATAGGTTGTAGTTTGCAATTTCTGGTCAGTAGTTACTGTAATGAGGGAGATAGTCCAAAAAAAAAAGGAAGATTTGTTGAAATGAGAACAATTGGTAAAACTGTGTAAGTTGTTTAATGTAAAATGCCATCAGTGATTGATAGATTAGACCAGAACTTGCTAATTTGGTATTTCAGGAAATCCATAAGCCCCTGAAATTATATTTAAAATTTTGTGTGTATTTATATTTTCTTCTTAGAAGATTCATAACTTTTTACAGATTTTTTTTAAATGTTTATTTTTGAGGGAGAGAGCGTGAATAGGGGAGGAACAGAGAGAGAGGGAGACACAGAATCCGAAGCAGGTTCTAGGCTCTGAGCTGTCAGCACAGAGCCTGACGTGGGACTGGAACCCACAAACTGTGAGATCATGACCTGAGCTGAAGTTGGATGCTTAACCGACTGAACCACCCAGGCACCCCTTAACAGATTCTTAAAGGGATTCTTGGCACAGACAATGGTAACAACACTGGGCTAGGATATACAGGCTTCTAAAAGGGAAGAGTGTTTTAACAAAAGTTAACATAGTGATATTAAAAAAAAAAATACCTTCTTTAAACTTGGTCATTTAAGAAAATCTTTCAATGACTGATACAATAATATGAAAGTTTAATAATCCTATGATTGAACCAGCTTTTCCTAAAATGGTCAATACAGTTTTAACTGCTGATTTCACTTTTCCTTTGAGAAAACTAAAACCTCAGTCTGTGAAAAAAACTATCTAAGAGCATCACTGAAAAAAGGGGACATTTTCTAGGGCAGTGATTTTTTTTTTTTTTTAAATACTTGCTCTTATGAATCAACAGGATAATTATAGTAATCTTGAAAACTGTTTTTAAAAGCTTTAAAAGAATATTGACAGAAGTGTAATTTTAAATGTACAAACATCCCACATAGGCCTTTCAGGTTAAAAGGAGAAGGGGGGGTGGGCCTGGTGAAATGGACAATTGTATTAAAGCACTGAGTACCTGGCAGATGGTGGGGGCTCTGGGAATGTCCTTGTTGCTGAATGAATCAGTGCAGTAATCCTATCTGGTAACCAGGCACCTGCCAGTGTATCAGGTAGTTTGTACACAAGAACTCTTTTGATATAATGATCAGACCACCCTCTTATTATAACTACAAATACATGTTGAGATTTCCTCATGAGGTTATATTGTTTCAGGTTCATGGGCTTTGGGGGGAAGAAAAACAAATTATTCTGGAGACAGTTCACGTAGTTTAAAGAGGTATCAGGCGTTCTAAAGCAATGTTAATTCACATGGGAGTAGGCATACACAGAGTTTGCAAGGTACAGAGTCCTTCCTGATTCCTTCAGAAATCCTCAGGCAAGAACTTCTTTAATGGAGAATCCCCAAATGCCTTCCACCAAATCTTTATGAACAACTTTTCTCTAACATTTTGATTTCTACTCTGATCACATGTGCCATTTCATTAATGAAACATACTGGGTTTAAAATAAAATGGACCACACAGAGACACCTTTTTCTTTTTAAAGAAACTATTCAACCTATTTTGTTTTAGCTCTAAATGAAAACATAAACCATATTTTGTTTTGTACAGCCAAAGAAAATTTTCAAGAATATCCCTTTCCTGGGAAAGTTGGAGGTAAAACATGTAGAGGTCATGGCTGCTGACAGGAAGACCTGTTCATTTTATCGCTTTTGCAATGAGGTGACAACTGATTGCTTTGGAGACGCTGATTGCTGCAGCCATTGCTGGGCTAGCCTGGTCACCTGTAAGAGAATGATGCCTTGGTCACCACGGTCCCCATGCTATAATCTACTTAATCTGAGCGCCATCACTGGCAGAGCTTGCTTGTTTAGGGAAGTGCATGGGTTCTGTTTTGTTTTGTTTTTTTTAATTAAAGAGCGTATTGTCCAGGCCGCAGTAATGTCTTCCTGAGCTCCATCAGGCTGATTTACAGTTTAATTAAACATGGTGTTCTAACCAAATGATATGAAGATTTTACTTTTAAGCATGGCAAACAACTTTACTGGAAGGCTACTTAAAAAATCTGTTGTTCTGAATGATGCATTAGCTCTTGTTTTTGTTTTTTGCGTTTTGTGGGATTTTTTTTTTTTTTTTTTTTGGCTTTGAGCTGAATTGCACTATCTTCGACCACCTCTTGTTTTGGAATGGTTGAGTAGTTTGTGGTCCCCTGCCCTAAGCTGAACAAGTGCATGATTTGTTATGTCACTGCCATCCGAGCAGAGCCTGGGCTATTTGTGACTCGTGTAGCATGTCAACATTTTCTCTTTCTGAGTTGCTGTAACTGGTTTTTCTCCAGGAGTGAGCCCTCCAGAATGCATCGTTTCACATAGCTTTCCTTTCTGAGATAGAAAATGGCTGCCTAGGGTCAATACCCTCATCTTAATTTGTATTGTTCTCTCATAACAGTTGTCGTACTTCAGTTTATAAGTACTGTTAAATGTTTATATGCTAGATTGCATGCTTGTCATGATTTACATAGCAGTGGTAAAAGTCTGATTCTCAGGTAAGCAGTCCAGGTCTGGAAATTTCTATAGGTTCGGTTATATTAATTGATAGATATTCAATACTGTATTCTATCTTTTATCTAGTTTTTACCTTGCTACGTGAAATAATTACTTTACCTGTAATTGAGATCATTCCATTGCTCCTAGCTATGCTGTGAATGCATCCCTCGGTAGTCCTTCTCTTTTGTTCGTAATAATCCTTGGCCAGTACCTCTCCCTTGGTTAGCATCGAATATTCATTCTACTGTGAGTGCTATGAGATTGGAGACTGAGGTTCTGCTCCCCTTGTTACCATGTCGTTCAACACTGTGTTTGGCACACATCAGCTGCTCAGTCCATGCTGACAGAACCCACAGACTTCCTTCAGCCACAGTAACCCAGCATGCAGCTTCAACAAACTGGTTGCCTAGGGGGCTGCATTCAGTTCAGTCATGCTTTCTTAGGCATGCATGCTCTTTAAAAACTTTGAATTCATGGTCAACATCTGTAATTTATGAAAATTTCCACTTAATTCTGAATTTTTGGCTTCTTTTACATATTAAAGTGTGTGATAGTGGGCTCAGTTTCCTACATGAGAGTAGGAGGTTGGAGCTAAGTCTGCTTGGGATAGGGCATGCTCTTCTGGTTTAACACCTGACCCACTTCAAATTCTTGGCCCCAGAGAGCATCTGAACTTGGACCCTCTGGAAAAATGCCATTTAAGGCAGCTCAGTTACTGAATCATTAAAGGAACTTGTTCCTAAGGTGTTACCATCTGGAGTGCAAGAATTTACAAATTGTGATACAGTTTTCTGAGGAATCTGGGGCAATGTGTTTTTTATGACATGCTTTTAAAAGGCATTTAGCATGATTTGGAGTTCCTAAGAGAATTTAAATGTCTTTTGGGGCTACTCGACCAAATGGATAGTGTTTTAGGAGCCACATAAAACATTTCCTGGGGTGACAAGTCACATTTTTATGCAATAGCATAGTGGATTTTGGTGTGCCATCCCTGGACTGTCAGCATCAACATTACTGAGGAACTTGTTAGAAATAAAATTCTTGGGCCCTGGTCAAAAACTCTAGGGTTGAGTCCCAGCAATCTGTATTTTAATAAGCTCTCTAGGTTACCCTGAGCCAGTCTGCTAACAGGATTAAATATAATAATAAAATATAACTTAGATTGATTTTTTTTATTTCTGAAAAGTTTTAGTGAGATTGATTAATTCAACCAATTCTGTTGACCTGAGAATTATTTAAATTTTGCACCATGAAACTTACTGTGACCTTATAAATTGAGATTTACCAAAACTATCAAACTCAGTGAGAGATTTCTGAATTTCTAACATCTACCATATTTGCTGAGAGAACTCAACTGTCTGTGATCTGACATAGGAGAAATATATTGGCCAAGTGTGATAAACCAGGCCGTCTTTGGCTCCTGGCTTATGTTCTCTTGGTAAAAGAGAGACACAGAATATTCATTATACTTTGGCCTTGCCCACGATCTCTGGTTTGGGAGTCACTCTGTGTCTGGTCAAATTGGACCCCTCTGGCACTGTTGCTGTGCTTTAGGAAACAACGGACTGTAGCAATAAATGTTAGCTGTTATTATAGAGGGCTGGCTGTGTCCACTTAAGAAAGCTTGTAAGGATATATACTGCATATATACTGCAGTTGCTAGGTAGAAATCTGAAATAAATGTGGATAGGGGCTGCAGGTTATCATTTGTAATTGGTCATGTGCAAGAGCAGGCAACTAGGCCAGAGGCTTAGTATTCCTTCTGTGACATCCTCAATCCCTTTGTATTTAAGGCTATATTCATTTGTTTTTCCAGTGTCTAGCATTACTTTGCTATTGTACACAGTGTTTTTGTAATCTATGAGCTGCTCATGTAAAGCAAAAAGAATTTGTTAAGAACAGATAGCTTACTGAAAGCCAGAGGTGATGGTCTAACTTTGCAAGGGCTCTCCTTGAAGGGCCTAGTCAGCATACCCGGCCACAGAGGAGTTGGGCCAGAGTAAGGAAGAAGCAGTTCTGGTTGGAGGTATTAAGTTCTCTTGGTATTGGGGTAGAGTCTGAGAAAATACCTACTGGGCTCATTCATAAAATGGAATCCTTTTATCTGCAGACTGTCCCTTTCTTCTTCTCCATGGTAAGTTCCTCCATGAAAGATCTTAAAAATGAGCCAAAGCGGGGCGCCTGGGTGGTGCAGTCGGTTAAGCGTCCGACTTCAGCCAGGTCACGATCTCGCGGTCCGTGAGTTCGAGCCCCGCGTCGGGCTCTGGGCTGATGGCTCAGAGCCTGGAGCCTGTTTCCGATTCTGTGTCTCCCTCTCTCTCTGCCCCTCCCCCATTCATGCTCTGTCTCTCTCTGTCCCAAAAATAAATAAACGTTGGAAAAAAAAAAAATGAGCCAAAGGTTTCTCTAAAGGTACTGGAATCATCAGTGTCTCCAATGGATAGTATCATTTCTTCTGGAGTGCTTTAATATGTAGTAGGTTTTTTTTTTTTTAATTTTCTTATTTGTAAGTAAGCTCTACACTCAGCATGGGGCTTGAACTCACAACCCCCAGATCGAGAGTAGAATGCTCTACTGACTGAGCCATCTAGGCACCCCTGTAGGTTATTTTTAAAATTTATTTTATTTTTTTAACAGAGGGACATGTTTAATATTTGAAAGTAGAAAATATTAGTTTATGTATATCAATCTAATCATACAAAGCATTAGCTAAACAATTGGCAAGATGTTTTGTTATCCCTGAAACAAAATTTGTTTTGAGTAAACTCTATGGCTAGTGTGAGGCTTAATTTATGACCCCCAAGATCAAGAGTTGCATGCTCTACTGACTGAGCCAGCCAGGCACACCATCCTTGAAATTTTTCATTTCAGTACCAGGTTATCTGCTATGTTGAACAACATTGCTGGTGTAAGACTGGGGCAGAGTGACCTATAAGAGGGAGGCCTGGCCATGGCAAGGCAGAAAATTAGGAAAAGGCCAGTATGACATAAGATTTTTCTCTGTTATCATTTACTTTGAATTAGTTTTGATTCCTTGAGTGAGAACTGAGCCTCAGTGATCTGACCTGGGAGATACTGGCCAAGCTTCACTAAGCAGATCATTTCTTGATTGTAATACTTTTGAGACTTTACTGAGAAAAATAATTGAATTCCAAAAACCTCTAAGCAAGGCAAATGCTAGGAGCTTTAAAAATTATCCTAAAAATTAGATGGAAACTATTGTTTAACTGATATAAAAAAGTTAGCTATTGTAATGTACAGCATGGTGATCATAGTTAATAATACTATATTATATATTTGAAAGTTGCTAAGAGAGCAGATCTTTTTTTTTTTTTAGATAACAGTGTAAACATAATTTATTTTCTCTGCAATTAGCCACATTTTTTTTAATATATGAAATTTATTGTCAAATTGGTTTCCATACAACACCCAGTGCTCATCCCAAAAGGTGCCCTCCTCAATGCCCATCACCCACCCTCCCCTCCCTCCCACCCCCCATCAACCCTCAGTTTGTTCTCAATTTTTAACAGTCTCTTATGTTTTGGCTCTCTCCCACTCTAACCTCTTTTTTTTTTTTTTTTTCCCTTCCCTTCCCCCATGGGTTTCTGTTAAGTTTCTTAGGATCCACATAAGAGTGAAACCATATGGTATCTGTCTTTCTCTGTATGGCTTATTTCACTTAGCATCACACTCTCCAGTTCCATCCACGTTGCTACAAAAGGCCATATTTCATTCTTTCTCATTGCCACGTAGTATTCCATTGTGTATATAAACCACAATTTCTTTATGCATTCATCAGTTGATGGATATTTAGGCTCTAAGAGAGCAGATCTTAAAGGTTCTTATCATAAGAAAAAAGATTTTGTAATTGTGTATGGTGATGGATGTTAAAAAATTATGTTTCCATCCTATAGGCAGCTTCTAGTAGGAGATATTTAAAAATAGTTAAAATTTGTAGGTATATTTTATGAAGAATATTCTTTATCTGATGTAATTTCTGTAAGCTTGTAAAGTTTAAAAAATTCTTCTGAAGTCCGTAAAATTTTAATTTGTATTATATTTACTTTAATGCATTTTTAAGTTTACAGTGAAAAAAAAGTTTCCTTCAGAATTTCATCCTGTAGCTTCATGGTTGCTGTTGGAGGGTTCAGGGAGGTCTCTGCATCCCAAATACTTTAGAATAAGAAAGAAAAAAACAAAAACCAAACAAAAGCAAAAAGTTTGAAAGCAACCAAAAAAACTGTTGGTGATGGAAGCACACCATTATGAGTTTGTCCCTTTTAAAAGGCAAGTAGATTTGTAAAATAAATTTAATTCCACATTATTAAATGATAGCAATTGTTTGCTGTGAAATCTAAATTCTTAGTGGAAAAAGGCATCAAAACACATAATCCAGACTTCAGGATTAGTTGTGGATATTTTTCTTCCCCATGAGTGTTTTAGGGAACCAGTAAATGTAATTAGTTAGGGGCTGGGAACGAGAAGAGCTGATTCCCTTAGGCTCAGCCTGACTCATGTTTACGGGGGCCTGGCCTGTTTAAGGCAGTGTTTAGGTGTTTGGGATTAGACACCATAAAATATGCTTATATCTTAAGGGCTTTGACTCTCCGTTGGGTAAATCAAGCCTAACTTATTGATGGAGAACAATAGGTGGCAAAAACAAAGCAAAAGACAGACTTGCAACAAGCAAATACTAAAATAACAAAAGGAAATGTCCAGCAGTTTTCTCAAATTGAGAAAGCAAGGAGACAAGTGTCAGCACCATTGATAGTGACCTTGAAGTCTTTAGATAACCTCAGTGTTTTGACTGAACTGAATTGAATAAAATGTACTTTTTAAAGCTTTATTTCATAGGGATAATTTACTAAGCCTGTCTGGAAATAAGGACCTTGGTAATGAGACCCGCTTTGAGGCAAACACTTTTCAAAGTTCAATTAAAAATTTTTTCTTAATGTTTATTTTTGAGAGAGAGAGAGAGAGAGAGAGAGAGAGCGAGCGAGCAAGCAGAGGAGGGGCAGCGAGAGGGAGACATGGAATCTGAAACAGGCTCTAGGTCTGAGCTGTCAGCACAGAGCCCGATGATGGGCTTGAACTCACGAACCGTGAGATCATGACCTGAGCCAAAGTTGGACGCTTTACTAACTGACTGAGCCACCCAGATGCTCCTCAAAGTTCAATTTAGAAGAGCAGTGCCATTTTCAGAACATGTGATCCTGGGTTAGGAAGGAAGTGCCTGACTTGGGGTGGTGAGGGTTTCCAGGCTCATTGCTGGGATACATATAGCTGCATTTTCTGTGGTTACATTAAAAAAGCCAGAATGTTGCAATTTCATGTAGAATGGACTTCAGAATTTGAAGAGTTTCTTAACTTACAGCAAACAGCAGGGTGAATGAAGGAAGAAAGGTACGTAGTTGAGGTGTCTTACATTTCTAAAGGGGCTGTAAAAGCAGGTATTCTGTGGGTTGTAGTCAATGTGTAAGGTATAGAATGCTGCTTTTACAGTCAGTTTGAATTTGTAGACAAATATTAAAAGGTACCCATGTATCTGTGTTTTGAAAGCCATTTGTCAAAATACTGTGACTGTTTTGAAATATGAAGAAATTGAGCAGATTTCATTTAGTTGCGTCAGTGTTCTCATTGTTTTATGTTTGAGTTTGCTTAATACTTTGATTTCATTGTAACACATCTTTTATTTGCACACTTCTTGTCATGTTTAGCATGTATGCAACATACTAAGTTGCTTATTTTGGATTTAGCTGAATCCTTGAGCATGTAGCATATTGCATGGCATATAGCAGGTGCCTTAATAAAACTGTTTGAATCCATGAATTTAACATATGGTTATTGCATTAAGATGTTTGCTGATGTGACCCTTTTGATGGTTTACCTTTTCCCACTAGCCATTTATTTTCAGATAATTAAAAAGGGATTTTTATAGAACATTCTAGAAAGAAAATATTAGTATTGATGTTCTAGTTAATATAGGCACTTGAAAATTTTAGAAGAAAATAGACTGATTGATACATTTAAAAATAAACTGTCTAATATGAAAAGTAAAGATAACTTTTCTGGAACTGGGTATGGTATGTAGAGAAAGAAAAAGGAAGAACAAATACTCACCTGTAAAAAAAGAACTTACCATTTGTGGCAACATGGATGGACCTAGAGGGTGCTAAGTAAAATAAGTCAGACAGAGAAAGACAGATACCATATGATTTCACTTATATGTGGCATCTAAAAAACAAAACAAATGAACAAATAGCAACAACAAGAAAAAAACCCAGAAACAGATTTATAAATACAGAGAATGAATTGGTATTTGCCAGAGAGGACGGGGGTGGAAGGATGGGTGAAATGAATGGAGGGGATAATGAGGTACAGACTTCCAGTTATAAAATAAGTAAGTCATGGAGATGAAAACTGCAGCAGAGGAAATATAGTCAATACTATTGTAATAATGTTGTGTGGTGACACATGGTGACTGGACTTATCATGGTGAACATTGTGTAATCTATAGTACTGTTGAATCACCATGTTGTACACCTGAAACTAATATAACATTGTATCTCCGCTAGACTTCAATAACAAAAATTAAAAAAGAAAAAAAGGATGACGACTTTGTGTATAAGATTTAGAGTAAATCTTCCAAAATGATCCCCATTAATAAAGATGCCAATAATTTAATTATTTCTCATTGTATGTCTCCCTTCTTGGAGAGAAATGTTTGTTATATTGTCAAATCTGCATCATGACTGGGCTGCAAAAAGTCTGAGCCAGTAACCCTCATCCCTCAAATATGCGCGTGGACAATTGCCATAGAAATGAAAGTTGAAAGTTGGTACATTTCACTGATTGTGACACATCTTGGAAGTTGAGATGATGTATACCTTCTGTATATTTTAACACTGTCTCTATGGTTACACTCTTTTTATTCCCTCTTTTTAGTCATACAGTTTATCAAGAAAGAAAATAGTGCACTACACCTGTTTTGATCAACGGAAAAGAGCAAATGCAGCATTTTTAATAGGTGCTTATGCTGTAAGTACTTTTTCATGATTATTTTCTATAATCAGGCCAATGGAATGCTAACACTGTCACATAAAATCCAGGCCAGTTTTTCAGTGGAATTGGGAGATGGTGAAAATTATTAGCACCCTGGGAATTGATGGGGAATGGAAAGTGTGGACTACTATCCATGGGCTATTTAATTCTCAGATTTTATTTGCTAGTATCTAATGACAGAGTCTCAGAACCACAATGGGGAGCTTGGGTCCCACAGTTGTATGGGTGTTTTTAAAAGAAGAATATCCAGAAAGAATATATAGTGGAAGATTTTTAAAGACTGTTGAGGTGTTCCTTTTTTGCATAAGAGGAAATCCTAGATTGCATGGGGAAGGATTGTTATTATTATATTATCATTATCCATCTACTAATCTATATACATGTTTGCAGTAGGCAAACCAAATATAGGTCCTGCACATATTACACTTCCCTACTAACTAGACAAGACTTTCCCAGAAACGTTTTGATTGCACATTTTGTTCTCTGTAAGTACTAAAACGTAAATGTGAGTTCCATGTGAATATGCTACAGCGTTTTGGTGTGAATATTTCTAGAATTTTCTATATGTACTGGGATTGGACAAAAACTTGGAAGGCAGAAGCCCACCAAGGCTAAAACTCATTTGTAACCTGTAATAACTTTTTAGGGACAAGTGTGATATCCATGTAGGAATATGCTGGTTTAAAGGCAGGGGAGAGAGGTGTCACTTCCCATCATCCTTGGAGAGGGTCTGTGCTTCTCTGAAGCCTGGAAGCACACTGCTGTGTGACCTTTCCAGGCCCTCCTTCTGAAGATCTTGACGGAAGGAGGCACCAGCTACTATGTATCACACTCTGCCACATTAAACCGAAAGCTCTAGGGGAAAACGCCCAGACAGATGTGGTGTTAGAAAGACTGTCAGCTGTTGCAGGGTGTAGGCTGAGAATAGTGGCAGGCTGACAGCCTGAGTGCAGCCTGGGGCCTTGTTTCCAGGGCTGAGATGCCCAGCTCTGGCCAACTTTTCTCCCTGTGGTGTGGCCACCATGAAGCCGTGGGCCATCCCTTGTGGTACTTTTCTTTCTCACTCTGTAGGCAGCAGGGTATAATACAAAGAATCTTGACTAAGAATCAGAAAAACATTTTTTCATCCTGAAGTGGCTCTGGGATGACGGGTAAGCCACTTTATCTGTCTTTGCTTTATTTAGTTTCCTTATCTGTAAAATGATAGGGTTGGATATAATGACCTCTAAGTTTCCTTCAAATTCTGAGGATACAAAGATTATTTGTAGCACCAGCCAGGCCATTGCTTTTGTTTTAAAGGCACACATGAAAAGCTGGCTGTTGGCATGAAGGCTTAGTGAAGTGCTGGTAAGCTGAATGAAGCAAGCATGCTTATTTTTCAATTTACATTGATAATTATTACTCATTTGGGACTGATAATTGACAGTGTGTTTAGAATATGGAGAGCCTGTAATAACCTTTGGATTCAAGCCATGTAAACAAGGGTGTCTTTCCTGAGGGGTTTGGTGATGCTGTGTGAGCGTGTTCTCTGCGAGCCTTTTGTCATAAGGGATCATCAGGAAGAGGCCATCTACTGCTCTCTCGTTCCTTCTCCTCTTCCCCGCCCTCTCCTCTTCCTCTCTTCTTTCCTTCTTAATGCCTGTCTTTCCTGTTTCTGGTGTCATCTTTAATTTTATCATGGCACCTCTAGAGTTTTGAAAGGAAGTTCAGTCATAATAAATGCACTGAGCTGGGGATAAAATACATCAGATGCAGAAATTTCCACCACTTTACTGTAACCAAATGAAGGAGAAGCAGTCTCAGTGGGATTGAAGAAGCGCTGAGGGCAGCATGAGCTTGTCTGACACACTAGTTCGAAAAGCGGTGTAAAGTAATTCTTCCTGTACTGTTCGTTTCCTCATTGATTGTCGTTTCCGATTTTGAAAAGGCATGCCCCAGAAAGCTTTTTGACACAACACTTAATTAAAATGAAAACCAAGAATTGTATTCTTTCCTTAAAGAGAATTTTGTGCCTTACTTCGTATTGTGTGTATGCATTTAATTGTTGGCACAAGTCTTACAAGAAGAGAGTCTGTAATGTGCATTATACAAACATCTCAGTGAAGTTACACGTACATTAAATGTTGCTGTTTGGATAAGTCATGGTCTCCTGGGGGAATCTTCCGGTTACTAAAGTCAGATATCCAACTACGTGTTTGTATCTCCATGGTATCTCACATTTATCTTGGCAAAACAGAACTTTTTATTCCTTTTCTCCATGAACCTATTTATTCCCACCTTTTTAGTAAGTGGACTGCCATCAGTGACTTGCTGAATCCAAGAATAGTACATTTTCATTCCTCCTGTTTCCTCTTCCCACATTATACTTATCAGTAAGTTTGGTCAACTCTGCCTCTAAAACATATATTGAGTCAGAATACTTCTTTCCATCTCTGTTGTTATCCTGTAGCTCCAGCCACTGTCTCTGTTTACCTGGTTGACCACCAGAGCATCATACATTGTTTCCTTTTTACACCCTGGCCTTTGTTTAATCACAGCTGCCACACAATTGTCAGAGTAATCTTTTAAAAATATAAATTAGATCATTCATGGCTCTGTTTCAAATCTGTCTAATGCTTGCTCATTGTTCTTGGCATTGAATTCAACCTCCTTATCAATGCCATTAAGATCCCCCTTGATCTGGCCGTGTCTACCTCTGTGTTCTCCTGGCTCAGGATACCCCCGTCACACTGGCCTTCTAACCGTGAAAACCTCAAACTTATTCCCACTTGAAGACCTTCATATTTCTGTTCTCTCTGCCTGGAGTGTTTTTATATAAGACCTGATAATAATCACTTCCTCAGAAAGACTTCCTCTCAAGTTTTACTCTGTTCTCCACACCTCCAGTCACCCTCTAGTTCCTTTTTGTTTTATTTTCTTTATAGTGCTCTGCTATTTGAAATTATCTGATTCGTTTATATATTTACTTGTTTATTATCTCTTTCCTAGACTAGAGGGTAGGGACCTTGTCTGCTCCGTTCATTGCTGTGTCTGGGAGGTGATAAAATACTTAACAAGGGGTTAGGCCCAGGGAGTCAGCAGCTGAATTGGAAGCTGGCCACAATGGAGCCTTCCTGTTATGCTGAGCCATGAGGAAGTCCAGGTGAGGGGGTGTCCCAGGGAAGAGATGAGGTGGCCAGTGCGGAGGGCCATGGCATGCTGTGGGCAGCAGCTGTTTACATACTGGTATGGCACTATTTCAGTATTTGAACTCTTAGAACTGTGCCTGGCACATAGTAGGTGCTCTGTAAATATCTACTCAATGAATGAATAATGAGATGACAAAATATGAAAGAAGGAAGGAAGGTAACTTCAGAGGGAAACTGAAAATCATCAAATTGGACATAGAGGGTAAAGTGGTATCTTATTATCAGAATGCTGTGGTCTTGACTGAGCCAACTATGGCCTTTAAAGATGCAGATTCAAAGCAGAGATCAGAGCCCAAGGGCAGTTACCACCTGCACAAAAGTCACATCATCACCTTGCCTTTTGTTGTTGCTATTGTTGTTTTAATTTTTTTTAATGTTTATTTGAGAGAGAGAGAGACAGAGCGCCAGCGCGGGAAGGACAGAGAGAGAGAGAGAGACAGAGACAGAGACAGAGACAGAGACAGAGACAGAATCTGAAGCAAGCTCCAGGCTCTTAGCTGTCAGCACAGAGCTGGATGTGGGGCTTGAACCCACAAACTGTGAGATCATGACCTGAGCTGAAATCAGACAGACGCCTGACCGACTGAGCCACCCAGGCGCCTTTGTTGTTGTTTTTGATAAACTCTTTTTTCCCCAATTTTTAAAATTGTGGTAAAATATACACAATATAAAATTTACTGTTTTAGGCATTTCTTTCTTTTTAATTACTTTTTTCATTGAAGTATAATTGACATATCATTATATTATTTTCAGGTGTACAGTATAATGATTTGATATTTGTAGATGTTGAAAAATGATCACCATGATAAGTCCAGATAACATTCATCACCATACATAGTTTGGAAAACATTTATTTCTTGTGATGAGTCTTCATAGTGCAATGGTATTAGGTACATTTGTATTGCTCTGCGTTAGATCGTGACTTTAAGTATGTCACACAAGCTTTTGTAGTTCTACTTTCTTATCTCTAAGTAGGGGAGAGCCTTTTTACGTTTTATCTCCTAAAACTGTCATGAGCATTAAGAAGGAGATAAAATATGGAACATCATGTTCAGTGGGAAATCGACAAACCCTTCTCTATGAGTGATTCTAAAGCCAGGGTTGCTAGAATGAGGTGGCCCCTGGGGATCACAGTGACACTGAACAGATGGATGACAGGCACCGTTTCAGGGAAGTCCCTACTCAGGAAGCGTCTCTTTATTCCTAAACTGTGACGTTATACTTCTTGAGATGGAGGGCACAGATTTTACGAAGAGATCAACTTTGTCGGGAAGGTGTTTCCTTTCCAGGACTATACTCAGTGCAGTTTTAGAGTTGGGAATTAGGATGCTTGGATCATAGTGGCATCCACAGCACTTTCATATGAGTTTGAAGAAGATGGCCTTACAAAGTTGTAAGCATACATTAATTAGGTTCTTGCCACGTGCTTACAGACCACATCCTCGCTTGCTACTGTTCTGCTCTCGGTTCACAGAACCATGATAAAGAGGTCAAGGAGAATTTGGATGAAGCACATGATGACTAGGTGATTGGAAAAATTATATGTGTGAGAAGTTAGAATAAATGTGATGGTTTAGCTTAGAAAATGAAATTCAGAGTTAAAAAATTAAGGTTTCTTTTTTATTCCCCTAGATATGTGGAGGAGGCTTAAGCAGAGGCGGTAACCACAATGTGTTTTCCTTAACCCACGTGTTAAGTCCTCACATTGCCAAATAAGGGGTCTAATTATGGATTAACTGGGACAAGGCTGAGCCAGATGTCATGTCTGAATTAGAGATGACAAGGCTA